CTTACTATCCAGTCAATATAGTCATCACAATTTACAATAGATCGCATCGCATATAGAGTTGAGAATTGTTACAGGTTTTGAAAGTACTAGGGAATAAGTCAACCATCCAAGCTACACAAATTTCTTTTTCCGAGTTAAACACACTATTTTTTGTGTTAAAGGTATTATCCAGGTTTGTTGGTCGTGGTCTGTATGTTTTATGCCTGAAGTTTTTCCATTTCTGTATATAATGGCCACCTATTTATGACCAGTAATTTTTTCTTGTCATCAAGACATGCTGCGAATCCCAGTGTGAAACAGTCGTGATTTAAATTGACAAGAGATAAACGTCAACGTCAGTATCGGAATAATGTCACTCATGAAACATAAAGCATTTTCAAGGTTTGAAGAAAAATTAAATTATACATATATCAAAAGACTTAGAGATTAGGAACTGATGTTTCAAATCATAATTGAATTTAAACATATTATATTAGAGAAGCTTACAAATTTTTGCACTTCCAGAAAAATGTATTCAGTATCATTTGTTTGAATAGAGCTTCCAATTGGTGTGAAGTGTATTTCGTAAAGTGTTATTTCTGGGAATTTGAATGAGAAATTTCCTTCATACATAAATTTGGTTAGTGATACAGGTCTCAAAAATGGTTTCCACAATAGTAAATATAAAACTCCACATTACCTACATACAAAAATTAGTATATGCCTATACATAGTTACTGTTTCTAATAGTTATGGAAACATATTCATATACCCATATGAAAAATAATAAATTCATAGTGAAAATATTTTTAAATACAGAAATAAACACGACTTTACCTATTTTATCCCTCAGATAAATCTTTTATATGGTATGAATGGTGTAATATAATAAATTGACAGTTTTTAAATAATTTAAAACTTGTTTTTTATTTTTGAAGAATGTTAATTGTTTGAAAAATGTATTTTACTTTCAATTTATTTTTCAGATATCGCTTGACATATTGCTCAGTCTTTTCATTTCATTTAAAGCGTCATTGTTGCTTGATAGATTTCTACAGAATTTGTTCAAGTACATGCACCAAACTATTTCTAACCTTTGCCGAACTATAGCTCTTCAAAATTGGTATGCCATCTTGTGTAAGTACTCTAATTTTGATTTTTTTTTCGGTTAAATCCGGTTTCATTCCATATCCATATCATGGGGTTACAAAAAAGAACATAGTCTACGTTTTATAGGAGTCCGCCATATTGCCGCTGTATTTTTAAAAAGTTACGTCATGTAGTTATTAATGTAAGGATGTGTGTTTCAAAATTCGGTTGCAAAATTTGGCCAAACTATTGAATGAAAACTTATTATTGTAACAACAAAGAATATACCTAGATGTTTTCTTCAATATAAAAGAAAAAAATAGTTAAGATTTAGAAAATGAATGATATTAACAAATTTTGATAATGGAAATGGCTTGCATATTTACTGAAAATATCGAAAAAAAAATTCAATACTATTTTTTGTTATGAGGAAATAAAAAAACTTCTTTATCATTTTGCTCTAGCTTATGGAGAACTGGGAAATTTGATGTTTTGCTGTGAACTGCAAAACGATAACAGTTATTGAAAATTACTTTATGAAAATCTTGTTCGCACACAAAGTTTTTCTTCAAATATCTCAGAAAGTAGTGGAAATATGAAACATTGACAAACTGTGTTGAAAAAATCCCATCTAAGTTCGGTCGTAGTATTCAAAAAATTGATACGTAATAAGAGTTGCATGTCAAAATTCATCTGTTAGACGAAATCCATCTTCATTTCGTTCAGGTTTGGAGACCAGCTCCCCTACCCTTTTGGCTGATCATTGGCCTTGAGAGGGACCAATGGGTACATGACTGATGGATGACGGCATGAAGTCCTTAGACATCAGTGCCGCCCTTCACGGGATACCCCTACCTGGCTGGGGTGGGATGGATGAAAAAGTTATTCATCCTTTAACGGGGGACATGAGGGCCTCATTCGACAGAGTGTCGGGGCCTTCTATATCGGGAGGGGTCGTAATTCATCTGTTACTGAAAAATATCCCGTTATGATGATCCTCATATTATACATAGCTACAGTATGTCCGTGCTGCCACCTTTAGGAAGAATCGCTGGTTAGAAAGATTAGAAACCTCGTTTTCAAAACATCGAAGAATATGACCCTAAATCTACTTACCGACAGATGTCGAAAGTTTCCCACAGCCAACATTTAAGTTATAAGAAATCGTCTGCTAGTCTGTTTAAAAATAATGGCGACAAATGAACAGGTGTAGTAATGAGAGGTTAGGAATGTTTATTTCTACTGTTGGAAATTCATGCTAATGACATGATTCTGCTTTTTATAAAAATTACATATTTTTGGAGATAGTTGATTCAAGTAAAAATCTAAAAATTTCAAATACAAAAATAAACAACACTGTGTTACTTGAGACAGAAAAAATGCCTCTGAATAGTTATCCAACTTGATTATCTTTCATTAATATCAAGTTTCTGAGAATACACCATAAACGAATAATTTAGTAATTGTAAAGGTTATTTCCATCTAAAAATTATGTTTTGTTTTATGTACACCGGGACAGCGCGTACGCAGTCCCGACTACCAAAAATTACGCGCCCGAGTTATCCGCATTAGGGATAATCGCAGGGGTCAGCCCAACCGTAGTGCAATGGAAGGGCCTCGTCCTGGGGGAACCGCCTTCATGATCACGGTTAACCCCTACGCCAGGTAAGTATGCTTTCCAATCGTCAGTTTTGATGATTTAAGAACTTCTTCGAAATGAATGAAAGTGAGTTGCTAACTGCGCCATCTACTAGTTCTCGTAAGAAGTATGAAAATCGAACCATTCGACATGAAGTGGAAGAGAACTGAAGTACAGCTAGTTCGCTTGTCACGGTACCTAGTAGTAGTGGACTGCGCTCATATTCAGTTTGAAAGTTTGGTGTGAGGATTAAAGAATATTTTTTCAAGGAATTTATTGATCCCTACCCAAAAAAAATTTTGAGCTCTCACTGGACGATTGGCAGATGTGAAACATCAATAATAATAATATTGTGTGACCCCTGTGATGATTGTTGGGTACTGAAATATTTATAAGATTTATCTAATTAAAATATATATGAAAAAATTTCAATGTAGCTCTAATGTAGATACCAGTAAACTCAAGAATCAGCTAGTTATTGCAATATATTACTGAATATCGTAAATTATAAATATCAATAATGATCAGCATCATTAGAAAATTAATTGAATAATTGATTTTTTGATGTTCGTGTTAATAAAAAACATTCGTGCGCTAAGTCCTCGCTATAAGCTGATTTTGAAATACAATTTTTTTCAGTATTTATGAAATTTATTCTTCAAGTAAGCGTTTTAGTGCATCATTTTTCATAAGAATGAAATTAAAATTAATTAATAATTGATTAAAAAATATTATGTGCTATATAAATTGTGTAAATTTTAATCTACCAAGAGAGTAGATTTTACATTTACTAACCCTTGAGACAGTCGAAATATACGCGGACTTGGTGCACAGATAAATGCACACTTCAATTATAAAATATAAAAATATAATTACCTTGCTGATGACTCGATAGTGTATCGTAGTGTGATTCTGCATTCTTTGCAGGAGCTTGCTCACTTTCACTGTCTAAATTATAACTGTCAGACATATTTTATTTTTAATTATTTTTAAAAATTATTTACTTAGTATAAGAGAGGTTATGTATACTGTAATATACACTATAGGAATCCGAGCTCAGTGTGGCGAGAGAGAACTAGTAACGCCGCACCAGTGGGAAGAAAATCGCACAGTCGCTTGAGCATGGAGACTCGTCGGTTTTACATGCGGCTCTAATCAATTGTTAATCTTCCTTACAATTAAAAATTAATTAATTGTAATAATTTATACACACCTACAATTACAATTGCTTAATTGCAATCATTTATTAGTTTTAATAGTGTTACAATTAACAATTGATTTTTATAGTTTGTAATTGCATTAATCTGACAGTAAGAGAGGGTTACTATTACTTCAGATAAGATACCAAGTCTCATATTTTATTTAAATAATTTTATTTTCTTTCTAGTTCATCTTCTAATGTAGATAGTAAATTTTGTGAACTCTTTGTTATGTAGTTAAAATTAAGAACAAAAACCCTATTTGTAAATGGCAAGTAATATAGTAGTACTTTATATGTTTAAGTTACCCTAATGTACAACACTCAATAAAATTTAATAAATTATATGAGTATAAAATGTAAAAAAATGTGTAAATAGAAATAAATAATAAAATAAATTTCTAAATGCCTACAAAAGGTAAAAAAATCAATTTGTGGCTACCCCTCTAGATGAGCACAATGTTTTTTAGTACAGAGGTGGTTTAGTATCTCATCAAACAACCACTTGTCCTCAAATATTTTAATGTTATTGAAAAGTTTTTTATTGTATATTTTCCATTTCTTCACAATTACTACAATACCAAACGTTGTTCGGTAAAACTACCAAACCAATACATTTAAAATGGAACCACAGAGTTTCACACAGATCATTTTCACACCTAATCATTGGTGTACCATCATCAACTCCCTTACATATACACCAGTGGGCTAGTCTGACAGTTCCCTCTTTCTTTGTGAAGTATCTGCCTAAAAGTTCTGGCATAATCACTTCTAAATGAAATTGAAGAGCAATTTCACTATTTTTGTTCCAAAAATCTAAATCCCTGAGAATACGTTCTTGAAAGAAAATATTTGGAGACCAAATGACAAAGTCACAATACAATAGACCACACACAAACATTTGCATCTGTACTTGATAATAATAAGAATGGCTTCGGTTCAAAGTCACATTATCATTTTCCAAAGTTAAACAAGAATTATTACACTTCACATATTCACGTATATCTTGTATATTATTCACAGAGAGCAGATAAGGACATTTAATTTCCAAGCAACCGCCCAGACAACATTCACAAAATACTATTATCTGGCGATGCACCCAGTTGAGGCCACTTTGGATTTACCATCAACCCTACATCATTTATAATAAAGGATCTATGATTTTCTTCCATACATTCCTTATATTTTTCGACAGCAATTTTTTCATGGTTTAAACCCCAAGTAGTAGCTTCAGAACTAAACAATATTTTAATTGGATAACATATGCTTTTAACTAGTGAGAGAGAAGGTGACTCTTTATTTGTTCTACAAACGGGTTTAAATTTTGAAGCTGTTATTCTTCCAGCCCTATGTAAATACCAATTATTAGTAGCATGTTGTTTCCTAGTGATTTTCTCAATTTCGTTGCACTGTTCTTGTTTTAAACATAAATTAATAGATTTTGATATCTGCATCAATTCAATATATGTTTTGAATTCGTAATTTTGTTGGTATATATCCAATGAAAATGCAAGCTTCACATTTACAGTCCCAGAAATTTTACTGGCAAATGGCTCAACAATCCTCATTAAACTTGCACTTTTGCCAATAGTCTCAATCCTTGTAAGTTAATTGACAATATCGGATTCAGTCATCTGTGGCACTGCTGTCTTTTGTTGCATTGTTGAAGGTACTGCAATTTGTCCAAAGTCCATTTTGCTTAGAGGCTCAATTGGCACTACCGTAGATAAACATGGAATAGGCCACAAGGCACCAAAATCAGTGCAAGAAGATGAATTCTTTTTTTGATGTGCATATTCAGCAGCAAACAGTATGGCACCAACATGACTACAAACTTCACTGGCACCTGCCATACAAATACAGTGCGCTGTAGCTATTGACCCGTCCTTAGTTACAATGCACCAAACATCAAGAGGTTTTGCATTTGCTCTCTGGGAATGCTTTACCTGAAAGGAAATCATTCATTTACTATTGTATAAATACTTAGCAGACAATGGTAGTTGTAACAATACATGTTTTATGATCTTATAAACATACTTAGTGAAAGTATTAATAGAGTACAGGAGGTGAATAATTTGTTTGACTTTGTCGAAAACTTCGATCTACTTGAAAAATAGATTGAAACTGTTTCTGTCATAGTTTAATTAGAACATTTAAGAAAGACCGGTATATTTTCAATCCTCTTTCCGAGCCAATTAAAACTATCAAAATAAATGCAATCTATTAGGTACACTCTTTTTTTTTGGTGACATATGAATGCCATTATGAATCATTTCGTTATTAGAGAGCCTTTAATGCGCATTGAGTTCTTAAAATAAACTTACCTTTCCAACCAATACGTAGAAATCATTTATAACTTTCGTCCCAGCTTTCAACACAAATCCAGAGGTAAAATACTTATGAGCTTCAAGACTCTTGAAGGCTTTCATTTGTTCATTGGTATAAAAACTATGTGTCAACACTAAATATGCGACAATATCCATGTTCGTTACTGGTGGAATGCCATTCAGAGAATAATCCAAATCATCACTTGTGAGTGTGAAAGGGTCCACATCTTGAATTAGTTTCAACTTCATCTTATATCTATAAAAAAATGCCATGTTCAAATATTGTTAACTAATACAAGTTGTGAATAAAACCAGGTAAATAATCGAAAACAATGAAACAGCCCACAGTAAACTGTATTAGTAGTATTAATTTAACTATATTTTCAATACTTGAACTGTTGGTCATTCCTTTTTTTCTGAAGCTTCAATACATTTTGGCAGTGTAAACTGGTAATATTACTTAAGGTGGGTGAACTATGAATTCACCAATATAAAATTATTATTTGTTCAATTGGACATTTGAACCATAATCGACTTGAAAGTATAGGTATTTTTCGTTTTCATTCAAAACAATTTTATGATTCTTGCTATACTAATGCTAGTATTTTAGAAATTGAACAAATTTCCTACAAACGTTCTTTTCAAGAAATGATACATATAAATAAAGAATTAAAATCCATGAATAAAAAAACTGACTTAAATAATCTCAGTCAAATTTATACTTATTTATTTAAATTAGATAATGATAGTCGAAGAAGAAATAGTATTGCTGATTCATCCAGTATGTAACTGACTGATTGTAAAACAAATTATTATTTTTATGTTATTAACAAATATTTATCATTCATTGATCATGTCAAAATTAACTTTTAAATTATTTTTCGTTCGATTTGCTGCTAATTTTTTATATTAATCTCATGTTGAGTAAGTTATATCTGTAACGTTTTATACATATATTTTTACAATCATCATTTCAGTTGTCTTGAAGAAGGAAATAAACAAATAAACCCCATGTTATCATTGTGGATCAATTTCAGAGAATTCGTCAGCACTTCAATAATTATTCTGTGAATGAATACGTATTTTAAATTCCATTTTCCAATCCCGACATGCGGCCTTTCGGATATACTATACATGATAATAATTATAGAATTTTCAAAATTAATTCTATTCAGGACGCGATTTGCTTCACGATATAACTTCATCAGTTGGACTGGTACACATCAAACTATTCTACAATGTATTTTATATAACAATAGGTAATTACAAACTTTATAATTCAAATATACTACTAGTGTGCAGAATATTAGATAAAACTATTCCTTATTTTGAGGTTGAAAGTAATGTATAAAAATTACTTACTGTGGAATATATCGCGGATTTTAGGGATGACGCATGTGAAATCTTTCGTTGCCCCAAGTGTATTATAAGATACAGCAATATTCGCCACATATTTTGGCGAAGGACCGTAGATGCAGAAGATTAAATTTAAAGTATCACCTTCGACGGGGAAATATACCTGCTGCATGGTCCGGCTGCTACAAATATATGAATTTTCGAAAGTTGTCATCATTACATGGATTTATACATAAATATCTACCAAACTATTTATGTTCAGCGGACACCTCGCTCTTTCGTCATGAGGGTTTCTTCAATTAATGTAAATACAAATATCCATGTATTGTGTGATGAATGAAGTTGGTTGTTATTATTATTATTATCAGTATTCTATAAGTACATCAGTATAGTGGATCCATCAAAAGATAACCGATATTGTTCAGAATAATGAGAATTATAAACCTTAGTAAACATAGAAAAATAATACTAAGAAAATAAAGAATCCGTTCTTTTGAACACGAACCACCGTTACTTTTTACATACAATACAATTCCGATTTTTTTAAATTCTGATCTTCCGATGGAGTGAATCTTTACTATAACGCTAATTTTCTATGAATTATAAATTACATAGGCATTAGCATATATGAAAGGGTAATAAACAAAAATATTGCAATTCCCAACAAAATAATTTTTGTTTGAATTTCTTGAAATAATCCAGATGGAATTCGGTCTCATAATGGTATAGTGTGTAATATAGGGGTGCAACTACAATGAGTGTTTCATTGTCCCTTTTGAACACTTCACCATTCATTTGCTAAATGTTTTGTAAAATTGTGAATTGTAATGTAGACATCAGACATGAGCATTCAAAAATACCTTGTAGTTCCTTACACTTTGTTAAATATGTTTTTTTAAATTGGCTTTCCGTTGAATAAATAAATAATAAATTATTTTTCTGTGTCTATTGAAATCAAAATTTCTAACAAAGTATAGTGTCACTGAATGCACAGAATAATATTTTTTACTATTCTGTGGTGAGTGTCATTTGAATGAAAATTTGGGTAATGCTTACATATATTATATCTGAGGAATCATTAGATTTTCATTTTATCGTTATCCATTCTACGTACTCAGAACAATTTCAAATTAACCAGTTCCTCTTGGCTCTAAACTGTGACTAGGGATTTTATATTTCTTGTTTCCATTAAAAACAAGGAAAACGAAATTCTGTAAAAATATTGTTTACTATTCCATTGAAAACTTATGAATATTTAAACACGCACCTATTTCAAGGATTTTTTAATTTTTTGAATTATCTTATAAAACTCGATTGCAACCTTCCGACAGTCTTCAATAGACGTTTATAAAATGTCTCTAAAAATCGAAGAACTGGTGATTCAGCATAGAAATCTGTCATAAAAATCGCATTACAATACGTCTACAGTTAAAATGATACATCATGAGATTGAAACTTTCTCCTTGCTGGTGGCTCATTATAACTGAAATTTGAACTGAGTTTATTTATATTACCGGAATCCTTTGATTTGATGAGATCAGAAAAGTATTGCCTGACAAAATTCGTAACAAGAATTGGGAACAGGCTTCAGGTATTTAACCAGAAAACCCCAATCATCACTTCTCATCTGAACAATCAGAAGGATCGGTGATTTCTGGCATTTTACGATATTCATTAGAAATTACTGTGAACAGAATATTGATGCGAAAGTGGCACCATCTATCGTATGATAGACATTCTAGGTATCTTCCTAGTCTATATGAGTATTCAGGCATAGTATCTATAGTATACTACGATTCAAGAGTACCTTGGTGTGAGCATTGTATAAACCTTGTATATAGGGTTAGTCTATATACAATGGTACGAAGATATCTTCATACTAGTGTGTGAGCAACATCTTGAATTCCTAATTCGAACATCAAAGACAGGAGAACATTATCATTGATAACATTCAAATATTAGTTCTTTAAGCCGGAATTATATTATTGTGTCGTGACGCACCACAAGTATATCGTATCCATACATTTAATATGTTTAAAATTATATTACTGAAATGCACTGTGTCGTGACGGGTGACGGCGATCGGTCGATTCCCATCGGCGTCAGAACGATGGTGGGGTTATGACGCGTCAAAACACTTCACACTAGTATTAGTCCGGTCAAATTAGACAAGAAAATAAGAGTAAAGCTACCTAAATTCTCACCAAGCTGAAAATCAGTAAGAATGTTTAAAATATGATCAAAAATAAAATTTTAAAGTTCCCCATCTTTCCCCTGTTTGGAAAACTATTTATTCAAGGTCAAAGGTCAAAAACGGTGGCTAGGAAAAAAGTGTTGATACATTTTTTGTAGATAATTTTATGATCTATAATTTTTGTTTGAAGTATTCTTATAATAAAACTTGCCGTTTTGCGGAAAATCGCGAATATATCTTTTTTGACCTTTAATAAAACTTTTTTCATACAAGGGATAGATGGGGAACTTTCAAATTTTATTTTCAATCATATTTCAAAGAATGTTACTGACTTTCAGCTTGGTGGGAATTTAGGTAGCTAAGAATCAATATTTCCTCGTGAAAGAGTATTAGTGTCAAAAGTATTGTTTTTTTCATTCCACTTGTACTTCTATATTTTTACAGCCATCTTCATTACAAAGCGGCTAGCTTGTCTGAATCTATTCTCTACCAGTACTCAACATTGTAATAAACCGTTAAGACTTATTCCCTATTTTTATTTTCCTAGATTTCTCACATTCTCTATATGGACTTCGCTTTTCTGTGTGGCTACCTCATCCAACCGACCAAATTCAATATTTTGAACACCAGAACATACCTCTAATCTTTACTCCCAAAAACAACTCTTTTGTCCACAACTTCCTTCAACCGTTCACAGAATTCAGACAAAAACATCATATTGCAAACAACAATAAATATACTGATGAAACAGAAACTTCTGCAAATTCAAATGTAAAAAAAAAATATTTCACTTCTGAATGCAGGTAGCAGAATAATGATAACAAAGAAATTGCTGCTTTCATCTTGGGTTCAGAACGAGGTATGAACAAGCCAAAAATAATGTCAGTTGGAAAAATTGTGAAAATGATTTTATCAGGCAGAAGAAACCACTACTCACTCAGATCGACCAAAGTGAAAAAGTGTCGCTGAAGAAACCTCCGTCTATGTCACCGTTTGAAACAACAGGGTAATACGTTTCCGAAATAATAAAGAAGAAATCGACAAGTATATTACAACTCTCATACTGAAACTTGTTATGAAATCTGTAGCAGGGGTAGATGGAAAGGTCATATCTACACCACTAGCAAAGGCTAGTGAATGTAAATTTATAAACAATACGTCTCCAGATAGTGACCAATTGAAAAATTGAAGTGAGTTGAGATGAGGATTTCTGCGCACGTTTACATCATATAATATATACGTCAAAAATTTTGATAACTCAGTAACCATATATATCTTAGATCCTGTTTTATTTAAAAATGGACAGATATTATCTTATATACTTAGGATTTTCTGAAGTTGATGGAAGATGATTGTATTAGCTCAAAGGGTTTTTTTAATCTAAAAGTTTCTGAAAATACATCAAAGAACATATTTCAGTTCAGTTTAATTTACAATATTGAGATGAAGTACTTATTTGAATATAATTTCAATTCATATTGAAATCGTTTCACTTACAAGTCTAGTGAAATAATTAAACTCACAATTTGGAGTAATTTAATAAATTATTTGAAACCACTTGATGTTGAAACTGAGATCAATCATTTTTTTTTAATAGAACATAATAATTACGTGATATATTCAGAAATATATAATTATAAAGTTTTGGCTCATAAAAATA